AACGTTGCCACATGTTCTATTCTAATACTATGATAAATCTAAAACAATGTACAAAAGAAATTAAACAGATAAAAAAAAGTTTTTCACTGACGATTCAGCACCGCTTACCTAATGCACATGCACTAATCGTAAACATTCTTCTCTGTCCGAGACTGACTGGTGACAATATTTGCTGCTAATTTGAAATACATATTTCATCGAATTTCATTAGAGATATATTTCTCATTCAATGAATTCAGTTCTCACTTCATGGCAAGGCCTTGATACATAACAACTCAAAATATTTTCATTAAAAATTGAAAGGCACATAAAACACCAAGTAGAGTTAAAACAATTTTCACAATTAAAATTACAGTTCCTACACAAAAACAAGCAATTCGGCCAGCAGGCAAGAAGGTAGATTTTTCAATGCACAAAACGTTTCTTTTTGGTCTCACTTGGTAAAAAGACACTCAAGGTGCAGAAATAATTAAAACACTATTCGGCTAAGTTTCATATGTAAACAAATATGGCTGCTGTGGTAAAAAAAAATTAAGCTTAGCTGCACTTAAACCAAAGAATATGTATTGTTAAGAAGGAAAACTTCGCAGCAGCAGGAGTGGCTCCCTTCGAACGAAAAGGAAAATAGCTCCGCATGCATGAAACATCTGTCGCCAAAAAGCGTCAAAGCTCGAGGCTGATGTCAAAGTTTGAACAGGTTCGACTATCACGTTCATCAAGAGTTTAAAGCTGTGCGACTCCATTTTTTCCCCTCCATATTGACGGATATAAAATCAGACAACAAACTGCGATATGGATAATGCAAGTTCAACAGCCAGTGAAAGTGAAACTTCACCTAATTTTCAATACACGTTGCTTAAACAACTTTTAAATTGTTGATAATTCTATAAATACTGTGTACAGATTAACCACAGGCATAAAAACCTTAACCAGAAGATAAGAACAACATAATTCAATCATTTTTAAAGCTAAAAACACCAAATTTACCAACATATGAGAATAAAAAACTGAGATCACTGAGCCGAGTAACAGAGTGAATATATACAGTCAAAAGTCTTTAATCCGGACTTGTTGGAACTTTGGCGATTCCGGATTATAGATCGTCAATTTAAATATGGTAAGATGGCATGCAGAAATTATAAAATTAAAAATATGAAACCGTAATTTATGAAATAAAGAGCAATTATGTTCTAAAGGGTATCAACATTTACAAAAAAAAAAAAAAAAAAAGAAGGTTAATATTTATTTGCTTACTTTCTTTCAACGCGTGCATGCGTAAAGCATACATTACTCATAGTCGAAATTAGAAAATTGCAACCAGAAAACTATTTGATGTGTATTCCTGATATTTATAATGACGAGGAATTTGATTTAAATCATATCAAAGACGGAGTACATCGAGATGAAAGACTACATTTAGTTAGGAATTATAAGCCGAATAAAATAAAAACATCTGCCCTGAAGATAAGGATAGTGCTGACAGTTCAACTTTATCAAGTTCATTGGGTGCTGCGACGTCCACCTCCCGCAGAGCAGCGTGAAATTGATAAACAGATTCCGAATCTGTTTATCAATTTCACGCTGCTAGAGAAACAAAGGATATGCCTTTATCCATTTTTTTGCAGCAATTCCACTTTTTGTTTGACGGACATCAAAACATGCTTTCGCTTTGTAGATCCTTTGGCAGCTCCAGAATCGGAAATTCTTTTTGACATAATCGAAAGTTCAAGCTTACTTTTATAAAATTGCTCTAACAGTCTGCAAAAATTAATAAGCTGAATCCAATTAGAAGATTAAGGGATAACACAATCTGCAACATTAACTGAAATAGATAATTAGATAATTTTAGCTTAGCTTACACCGTCCGTTATACATTAAACGTGCATGCGTAAAGGTATTACGCATGCGCAGAAAGTTTTGTAGCTTTGAGGTCCGGATTAAAGATTTTTGACTGTATATGTAATAATAGCAAGGAAAAGACCGAGCAGTGATGATGCCTACGTAGATCCATATCGAGAAGGAAGAACACCAACTGCGTTGTATGCTGATATACCGAGTTCTTAATTTCTAACCTACTTGGCAGGTGAGGCAGTTTTAATTCCATTTTACCGAGTTCGTAATTTCTAACATACTTGGCTGGTGAGGCAATTTTAATTCCAATTGACATTTATGGCCACAATCACTTCACACTCTAGTCGTGCCTATTCACAGAACATTTACATTTTTTATACTTTTGCGATAAGAAGGAAGTACAGAGAAATTATGTCCTAGTAGAATAGAAAGAGAAGCTAAAGTGTGTAGGTATGCAAGATAGAAACACACACACACAAAAAAAAGGCTTTAGTTTGAATTTTCAGTTCCCAATTATGTCATCAGAGTTGCACAGGCCATGCAAAATGAAATGATCTAGAAATGATGCAATCCAGAGAAGTTATGATGATTTTTAGAACAGAAAGGGAGAATTAAAAATTTAAAATATAAAAAAATATTGGCTTTGCTCTATGCGAACAGGCAACCTATAATTAACTTTCCACAATTTCTGAATCTCCACCCTAGACCAGTACTTTCAAGAACATTCTGGCATGTTATGTAACAACTAGTATAGATACAGAGTTCGCGCTATTTTTCGTCAGACTGCTTTCTCCTCCTGCTGCTATCAGACCTTTGCTACTGCTCTTCCCATCGGTCTCCCCTTATTTGAATAGTACTATGCAGTAAATTTAATATTATTTTGTTTAAATCATTATTGAATATGTAATTTTGGAGAATTTAATCTAAAGTAAAAATGATCTGTGGTGAGAACTGAATAAAGATGTGGAATCAAAACAGCTAACTTCTTTGTCGTCAATGGATGCCTCTTTACACTCAGCCACAATGCCCGGACTCTGATGCCAAGCTTCATCATTCCTGTGCCCATCTATAAAATCATCACATATATACATATATTCACATACTTTTGGTGCAGCCGATTGCAACCAAAATAAGAGATGCATATCTACATGTTATAGCAGTCCTGTATATAAAATTTCAACATTCTGAGACTACTCGTTTTTGAGTTATGTGAGATACATACATATGCATGAACGTACAAACACCATGAAAAAAATTTCTTTTGAATCCATTTTAAATCAGTTTTATAGTCCATTTGAGGAAAAAGTCCTTTATTCTGTCCTTACATACAGGTACCACGCCAAAAATATCGTTAAATTGCATTTGATAGTGGTCAAAATGGATATTTTAGTTGAAAATGGTACTCGGAATTTTTCATGATTACAATACTTCCTTTACTTCATACAAGGAAGTAAAAAACCAACGGTTAAATCTAATAGCAAATGTCCTTTACCTTTTAAGGTAAATAAGTACAACTTTTAACACCATAAATAATTAATTATACACAAACTTTCAGCTGAAAAATGTAGAGCACCACTCACATCATTGCAAACACATAACAGCCAAAACTGAACTACGAAAAATCTGGAATTTCCACAATGTTTTAGTGGTGCCCAGCAACAAATTAAAAAAGACCCCAAACTGACTTAAATCTTTGTACTACACGATTCAAGTTACTCAACTATTTATAATACGACTCATACTAATATTTAATTAGATATTCTAAATTTTATGTTCTTTAATTTTGTAATTTCTGGAAGCGAAGTTTTAATTTATTGAAGTACTTTTAAACATCATGAAAATAAAATAAATAATCACTGTATATATTATCACGTTGATATAGTCACTTACTTTAAAATAATAACTTCAAGATTATTTTTCTGCTGCCCGATTCAACTCACAACTACGGGATATGGGTTGGGGGGAGGGGGGTCGTTTATCTTCCCCACCACTTAATCCCATTTAGCATGTGAATGATAGCACACTTGAACAACAGTCTCAAATGATATGGAGAAAGAAAATGAGGTGACGAATGACATGAGTTATGGCTGCGAATGATTGGGAGGGGGGATAGGCTCAATAATAGCTTATTTTAAAGTAACAAACTACAGTCATGTACCATTTATTGATTCTAAACCAAAATTTAATACAAATATTAAATTATTACATACTTGGTTAACATATGAAGTTTAAGGATGAGGGAATGAAATTTGCCCAATTTAAGTTTCATTAATTCAATATAGAAATCTTTCATAGTAAAGGCTAAAAATCAAAAGATTAGGTTAGGTTATCTACCAGTATACAGGGAAACGTACCAAAAAACTGGGAGTGTTGGCAACTATGAACAACATATTCAAGGTGCTTCCTGACTTAATTTCATGGAATCTTCTGCACAGGAAATTTTCAATACATGCACAGCAATATTTCATTTTCTTTAATCTGCAAGAAGCTCAATTTTCTAAATACGAAAATATTATTATTAAATTGCCGTGTTATTAAATTACTCCCTCCCCGGGTATTACATAACCTTTCTCTGTGTACAAGCCTCATGTATTACCTTCATGTCAACAGTTTTCTATTGCCGAAATTCTGGGTGAAAAAGTAAGAAGTACTTTGAATTAATTGTTTCAGAAATTTATCTGTAAAACTTCATGCAGAAAATCATACCTATTCCAATTTCCATTTAGCACAGACCTATACATTGTTACTTTTACTTTCAAGAGGTACCCAACTTAAAGAATTAAGGACATAACCACTGACAATATAAAGACTACATCAACAGTTAAAATAGTATAAAATTAAATATTCTCAGAATAGACAGCTATTTGTTAATTTCAAAAAAACTTATATAAACTCAATAACTATGGTATTGATAGTACAAAATTCTCCAGTTTCTGAATGTATTAGCTTCCCAATTTTAATCTAAGGAAGCATACCAATTTTCCTTTTCATATAGATTTAAGCTTTCAAAAATACTCTAACCTCTGTCTGGCGAATGAGAAATATCAAAACTACTATTTTTTTTTTTTTTTTTTTTTTTTTTTTTTTAATTTTTATTTTATTTTTTTTTTTTTTTTATTTATTTAAAGAATACACACACACACACAAAATGCAGGTAGGAAACTTTTTACTTATACATGAAATTTTCCAATACAATTATTCATCTTACAATTACATTCTCACAGTGCATGATTTTCCAGATTTCCATGCAAACTGAAAAATCTTTAAGTCATATTTTTGAATTATTTTCTTTCTGTATACAAGTCACCCAATCTCAGTGAACAAACATATTACAATTATTCCAGTCTCCTCTAACCACCAGTTTGTTTGCATAGTACTAAACAAATAATGAAGTCTCTTGGTACAAAGTCCAAAAGCAGCTGCAAACCTCCTCTTTTAGAGCAAAAGTATAAGCCATGATTTGTATTTTTCTTTCTACAGGGCAAGAAATTTTCTGAGTAACAGGGAAGGGATAAAAAAGATAAATACGACATCAGGCCTGATGAGAGCTCCAATTCTGCCACGCCTGAAACACATTAAGAATTTTCAGTTACAAGAGTTTAATAAAAGCATAATAACACAACACAAAAAAATGTAATAATACCTTTTCACAGTGTGTCTACAAATGATAGTACTGATATACTAGTAGTAACTGTGAAATACAATATACACATACTGACAGTGGACAAATTTCGTATTTGCTGAACTTCATTTCTGTAAGACCTATTTTACACGGCTAAGCAGCAGTGGCATCTAAGATGATTACTTCCCAGCAGAAAGCAGTCTGTATGCTGCTATTGAGGAAGTTAACTTATTGTTGCTGTAACAGTATATTACAGCATGACAATAATTAATAATTTAAGAATATTATCTAGCACTGTCACATAATCAAGACAGCTGGGACTGAAAAATCATCTACTCTATTCATCATAGACATTTATTTTCCTTCTACATCATAACTTTCATACTAGGAAATTTTATAAAATGATGTACTTTTAAAAATTTAAACCAATTTTCATTAAATAATAAGAAGGCTAGATACAGCTCATATACAATTTGTTGATTTCCATATGGGTTGGGATTTCAGACTAATAACAAAAATAAATTACACAGGCCTATATGCAAACTAGCAGAAAATTACTGCAAGTCCAGCTGCAAAAGTAAATTATAAGAAAGAAGGTGCAACTGCACTGTTTACATCAAATGTCCTGTAAACAAACTTGAATTTTTTGGAATATTATAAACTGGACTCGCACTTCACTTGGAAATTAAAAGGCTTGTCAGTCAAAATTTGAATATTACGTAGAAAATTAAAATTTTTGTTGAAACAATTAATTAGTTACAGTAAAAAATAATAATAATTATAATAATAACTATGCCTCTGATTTGATACTTGTCAATGTCAGCTAAAACAAGTCATATAAAGGTGTCATAGGAAATCCATGTAAATATCGGCTAACATATGTAAATATCAGCTAACAAAGGTCATATTTTCACAATATGATTTTAATTGCAGATATTACTTTCAGCATTAACTATAAAGAAGGTCTTCTAACACTGTTGCATCTTCTTGCAATAAGATGATTTTCAGAATTTCAATTTGGGCCACATTTCTGAAACATCAAATTCCCTCTTTTTGACTAGCCTTCTTAAATTAAATTATGTTAAAGAAAAAAAGGGGGGTGGACATATAATTTCTTGCACAAGATGTTATAAAAGCATGGGCAAATACAGACTGAAGATAAACATACTGGTTAGTAATAAAAAATGATATAAATTAACTGATATGTGGAAATAAATATTCCCTATATATCTATTCATTTATTATTTTATGTTTTCATTTTGCAAACTGATTATGCATGAGATTAGGAAACAGCTTTTGAAATTTAGGAAAATTTGAAAAATATCACTATTTATTCTAGCAAAATATCCCTATTTATTCTAGTCTTTATCTATCCATTTATAATAGCATTTTAGCAAATATTTTTTTAAAATTATATATAATAGTATTTCCTGTAAGGGACATTTCTGTTGGTCCTGGTCCCTACGAATTAAGAACTCTTAATAAGGGGTCACCTCTATTTAAGGGACAAATCAGGTCTGAGGTGTTCCTTATTAGGAGGTACTATATATATTAAAAAAAAAGCAAATGCACATGCATTTCTTTACAGAATTATTATTAGTTCACGGTCAAGAGAACTTTCAAGAATTTCCAAAAATATCAGGAGATAGAATTTCGCCCTCATTTTTCTTCAGCTAAAAATATACCTTGTTTATTTTAAAATTTTGCTCGAATATAAGAATAAATTTGCAGTTTTGACTATTTCTCAGTATTAATTTTGAAGTCAAACAACAAAAATCAGCATTATATCTGCAAATTTTCACAGGACTAATTTCGATGGTTTTACTTAACCTTTTAACTGTCATGCCCGAGATACTGGTGTTCAAAAATGTCACGCCCGAGTATTAATCGGGGTAATTTTTTTTTTTTTTTTTTTTTTTTTTTTTGAGTGCATCGTATTGTTATACCCGAATATATATCGGGAGACGTTTATTTCGGCTTCATCTCTTTGTCAAACCCGACTGTATCTCGGGAAAAGTTAATGTGCGCTCAGTTCAATAGATGACAGCACTTTACTGAAGATTTCAAAGGTTAAAGGTTATAAGTTCTTTGGTTCAAAGTGCATGGGATCTTTTTGTTGTAAAATGGCATCCAGTTCTTTGAAACGTTATATAGATGATTTAGATTCTTCAACCAAAGATGAAGGATGTGTGTTTGATGAGCAGTATTCATGATACTTTCCATGATCAGCCTCAAAATTAAAAAAAAAATTTTTTTTTAAAAATGAAGATATACTCAAGCCGAAGAGATTGTTTCTGACTTGCAATCTAACTATGGGTGGTGTAGATCGCTGTGATCAAGAACTATCCTTTCATCCAACAATCCGTTAAACATCAGAAAAAATATTATAAAAAGATATTTCTACATTTACTTAGAGACAAGGTACTGTGGAACTCATTTTTGCTCTAGAAAAATGTAGTTGGGAAACGTATTATATTTTCTAGAATTTCGAATCCCAAGTTGTAGAAGAGCTTTTACATAAATATGATCATGCAGCTTCTGAACAAAAGAATCTTGGCAGACCACCTACAACTAGATAACCCTGCCCGTCTTACTGAACGACACTTTCATATCCCATATTCCTCCTACTCCTGCGAAACGTGCGCCTACAAGACAGTGCAAAGTGTGTTGTTCGAAAAAGGATAAAAATGAGGAAAAGATAAGGAAGGAATCATGATTCTGGTGTTGTTGTAGTGATTGTGGAGTTGGTTTGTGCTTGGAAAAGTGTTTCCAGTTTACCACACAAGACTGAATTACTGAACTACTAATAGGTATTCACTTATATTTATTTCTTTTTTAAAAATAATAAATTTTTTTCATTTTTAGAAAATAATGCTCCACTAGAAGCGAACTTTACAACTGCCATGTTAAGTGGCAGCCGCCTCAAGCAAATATGCAGTGGCTACAAAACTACAAAAAATTTTACCCATGTACTTCAAAATATCAATTTTTAACTACTTAAGAATATTTTATTTTGTACTAAACATTTGATTTTTGCAATAAAAAAATTTGACAATTTGTGTACCCAAATCATCAAAATAACTTGACAGTTAAAGGGTTAACCATCATCCTCAGCTCTCAAAGTACAAATGAATGAGGTAAGATATGGTGAAAAGATAGGATACAAATGGCTGAACAGGAGTTAAGCTACTGGTGCCATCTATTGATGAAACAAGAAAACTAAAACATAATTTCCTTAAAGGCTGAAGGTAAAGATGAATTGGAATTAGGGTCGTTAACTAGAACAGAAAAAATTTTTTGAGTGTGATATGCTTCTAGAAAATCTAATTCACCAATGAAAGATTTTTTTGAATAATCTTGGCTGCAGAAAAATGGAAAGTGTGATTTTCATACCAACTATGCTGGGCAACAGAGGACTTACGCATTTCCTTTTTTCCTATGGAACACGATGCATATGTCAGGAAAAAGGAAACATGCAAGTCCAGCCCTGTATTGTTGGTTGGTTAAGGAAATTAATTATGTTTTAGTTTTCTTGTTTCATAAATAGATGGCACCAGTAGCTTAACTCCTGTTTAGCCATTCATATCTTATCTTTTCACCATACCTTATCTCGTTCATTTGCGCTTTGACAGAGGATGATGGTTCAGTAAAACCATCAAACTAGTCCTGTGCAAATTTGCAAATATAATAATGATTTTTGTTGTTTGACTTTTAAATAAAATTAATATTTGTTCATTGTTATTTTACCTTAATTATTTCTCAGTAGCAAGAACATTTTGAAGTACATTCATCTCAATAAATGAGATATTAAAAAAATGAAACATTTTATGAAATTTGAAGAAAACATGAATTACATTGCTAGTTTAAGAATGTCATAAACACACTCATATATATATAGTGAGTGTGTTATATATATATATATAGTGAGTGTGTTATATATAGTGAGTATATATATATATGATATATGAAAAACCTTTTCTAATTGATTGGGTTTTGTCCTCTCTTTACTTGTCCTTTAGGAGGGACAAAAAGAACTACTGCATTCTCTTGTGCATGCTGGAAGGTCCATAGTTCAAATCCTGGTGAGGGTTTAATTGACTTTTCTTGGCTTCCTGCTTCAAAAAACCTCACCGATTCTACAAGTTTCAAGGGATTAAAAGTTTCCCAACCATAGACACATAATATAAATTAATGAGTAGACAGACTACTTGAAAATAACCTCTTTTAATTAAAATTTTTAACTTTCTCAACAGATATATAAATAACACATCCAGCCTGTTTAAACTACTTTAATTTACATTTTTGCAAATAAACTGTTAAAATTTAGATGAAGTTAAATAATAATGTGCACTTTATAATTTGAAGATATATATTCGGTCTACCAGAAAGTTATGTCCGTTTTATGACAACAATTTTTGACATGTAAGCACATGTTTATTTGCCGTATGTTTGGCTCTCTATTTTTATCGCTTAATGTATACATACTGAAGTAGCAAGTTAACTAAAACAAAGTTGATTCACGTTAGTCTTAAATGTGAAGCGATAATGTACCCATGGCCACTGATAAAGTTCATTTATGCCACTGTATTTTATACGAATTTCAACAAAGAAGAAATGCTACAGAAGCATGTAGAAATTTATTGAAAGTGTTTGGTGAAGGTACAGTTTTTGTTAAGGCATGCAGAAGATGGTTTGAAACGGGTGATTTTGAACTTTCTGATAAGCCACGTTCTGGGCGATCACCTTTGATCGGTGATGGCGTTGTTATGACCGATCCTTTTGTGACAAGAGATAGCAGAAAGGCTTAATTCAGCTCAGCAAACCATTTTGAACCATATTCAGAAGATAGGATTGGTGTGGAAATATTCAAGATAGATACATGAATTAAATCAGAAGAATTTGGATGATCAAGTCGTCATATGCACATTTCTGCTTGCTCCGAACAAAATGAAGCCCTTCTTGAACCGGATGATAACTGAGAATGAAAAGTTGATCACCCACGGAAACATCGTAAGGAAAAGGGCATATTATGAAACCAGAAAACCTAGCACTCCCACCTCTAAACCCAATTTGACCCTAAATAAGGAGAATGTTGTATATATGGTGGGGCATTTGAAGACCAATACATTAGGAGCTTTTAAAACCACACAAAAAGCTCAATTCGGAGAAGCACTGTCAGCAATTAAACAATTTAAAGACAACATTCGAAGAAAAGAGGCCGGTGATTTTCAACAGGAAGGACATCGTACAGCATCATGATCATACCAGAGCACATGCTGCTTTGGGGAATCTACAAAAAAATTGCAGAACTAGGCTGGGAAATTCTGTCACACACACCATATTCCCCAGACTTAGCACCCTCTGACTATCACCTGTTTCTTGTTTTTGTTCTTACAAAATTTTTTGGAGGGAAAAAATTCAAAAATAAAGTAGATATCAAACAAGCACCAGCTCAATTTTTTGCATCAAAAGTTACATCATTTTTCAAAAATGGGATATACAAATTGCCCTCATGCTGGCAAGAAGTCATTAATAATAATGATAATCATATTATTTTAATAAAGTTTATTGACGGTAAGAAAAATTTGTATTTTGTTTTATTCCAAAAATAGACAGAACTTTCCGGTAGACCGGATATATAATAAATTCATATTACACTATATGATAAGTAGATGCCAATTTCATTTTGAATTTGAAAGAACAATTTTAAATCTGTACACAAGGCTTTTTTTATATTCCTATTACCATTTTGTTGTGTTCTACATTTTGTGGTAGAACATCACCACCGGAAGAGAGTGGCACTTTTGGATGCATCCCCCACATTTCAATCTGATTTTCCACCGGGCCAGGTCCTGCAGCATTGTTTTGATAGAAATGAGGTGGCATTATATGTGTAGGCATACCATTCATGTAGGGAAAGGTACTGCCAGCAACAGCCTAGGTAAAATAAAGTTTTAACAATTACTTTGGTAAACAAATATTATATAATATTTCTTATTAAGTTGATAATTAAGTTTAAGCTTCACTTAATAGATCTAAGTATAGGACATAAAAAAAATCCCTCCTAGTTTAAACTGATCTCATAGAGAGGAACAGATTGAATTAACTATAGCAAAACAAACTAATGCTAGAAAAACTTGCACGAATGTTCTTACGGGAAAACAGACCATTAAAATTACACACAGGGAAAAATAGCTTTGTTTAAACAATATAATAAATACTTAATATGCAAGCATACTTATATATAATAAATATTTATATGTCAATAATTACTTATATTAAAATATATACTTATGTTGAAAATTTTAAAGTTGTTGAATTTTAGTTCCAAAGAACATTTCCTTTCTAATTGTATATGCTAGAATAATTGGATACATCAAAACTAAGAAAAATTATTTGGGTTAACTAATCAGATAAGAAAGAAATGTAGATCAACTAACAGCAAAATTTAATAATTTATAAAACAAGCATAAAACTTAAAGAGTAGGTTACATTTTACACCTTTTATGTTACAATTCTGAAGCACATACCAAGACAGAGAGAAGATCAAATTGAGGTTTTAGATTATTCAATACACTTATTCATTGAATTCATATGACAATAAATAAAAATTAACCAGCTCTGCAACGTTTTATTAACATTTCTGAACCTTCCAAATTAATTGTGAAATAATACACTGTTTCTTAAAGCTAATAAAAATATAAATACCTGAAATGCCTGATCTAGATGATGACTATTTTCCATAGCCAACATATCAGCAAATCTTCCATTGTAATTCTGTATATTAGTCATTCCAGCATCATCTTGCTGCATTTGAGGAATGGTACCCTGCATATTGTGTATCCAGTCTCCCGTTACTGGAATATCAGCTGTAATGGATATTTCAAAATAAAGCCAAAAGATTGTACAAGATAAGCATAGAAATACTAGAATTTATTAAATATGGAGGTAAATCAAATAAAGGTGCATGAAAAATAATTGCCAAAAGATGATGTAGCCACTTTATAGCAGTAATATAAATTTGAAGTATATAATTCATGCATATAACTTGAGGCATATATTTTCAGATTGGCAAATCACATGATCATATGATCATATCTAATCATGAAGCTCTGAGATGATTTAAGTTTTGGCTTATTTTTAATGATTGCATTTTAGAAGCACAACTGGTAAGCAAGAAAAACAGACATGAAAATTTACTCAGCTCTTTTTTCATATTTTTCACACAAAAAGCCTTTTACTTAGTAAAAGTTGTCAATATCAGTCAGTCTTGTCAACATTAAAGATGTAACACAGCTGATATTGAAAATGTATTTGGCGATTTTTCCCACATCCACTTTCATCAAATAATAAGTCCTATGCCTCCTACTGCAATACAAGGTATGAAATAAGTCTATTTTAAGAATGAAGACATATGAACCCCTTACATAGAGCTTCTTTCATAGGGGGCACACAAGTTTTAGTTTTTTTAGGGCCACATAAGTTTAAACAGGAAAATTAAGCAAGATATTTATTGATATATGTTTTTTGTTTCAAACTTTGAATTATCAATAAGACTTCAAAGAATATAGACAATCAAACAGACTGGATGATCATGAACAGTCTTGAGAGTGGAGAAGGGCGACTGTCTACCTACCCCACCTGTGGCAAAATGACAACAGTGACATCACAGACAAGACAAGGTTTCACCAAAGGACAATTCAAAGAATTAAGAAGCATGGAAACAAAAGTCCCAGTTCATATCATGGTGTTGTCAGCAGTTAAAAACATATTTCTGAAGAAAGCCAGAGAGTGAACCAAAGAATGTAAACATTCTAGTGACTGTAAAGATGTTCTTCATTGAAGAAGTTGCAGCAAAAAGACTACACATGTTTCAGAAAAACTTTGCATGAGCACATACATTCAGGAAAATTCATGTCTTGCTTGACAATAACTTTTTTGATCACACTATTAGTGCACAGCTTTTAAATCCTCCTGATTGCAATTAAGCATAGGTATGACTAAAATGATGATTAATGAAGATAAGCTGAGGAAGAGAATCTACCAGGCATTCCAAGATTTATCTCCTCAGGTTATAAAGAGCGTCTGTTTTATTGAATAAGTTCTGCGTATAAAACTTTATTTCTGTTTCTAGAATTTTCATAAATGTTTAAAATTCAAATTTTCAGAAATGCTTTTGTTTCCTTAATGAATTTTCACAACAATTCTGCTTGCACACCCTGCTAGTTGTTATAGACAGCGTGCAAATATGTCTACTTTTATCAGCACTTGGGGCATTTAACTAATTTTCTTTCAATGGTTTATTTATTTTTTCAAAAAATACTTAAGTGCCTAGTATTTTATTTTCATTTGCTATCACACATTTCTTACCCTCATTCTGCACTTTACAAATAGTTTCAATTTTCATACCAAAGAAAAGTTCTGACTTTTTTTCAAACAAACAACGAAAAATTGTAAAATAACAGTCCTTCTTTCTGATTCAATGCATATAGTTCTTTACTCAAGTGAAAAGTCACGCTATGACTTTTGCTTGAGGTTTCAAAGTTACAATGTTTGGATGGGGCTTTATCTTGTTTTTTCCTGTTACTTCTTCCATAGATGAAGTTTACCTATCAGATTTCCCCTAAAGGACTGAAACATGCACAAGCTACATAAAATAAACAAAATGAATGGCGCTTCTTTCATATTCTTTGAAAAAAATTTTCAAAAAAAAAAACACCAAGATCTCGAACAGCATTTACCATTAAATTGTTCCATTTACAGAATACAGTTCCTAAATATAATGTAAAATAAAAGCTTTTGTATTCAATTTTTTATTACTACTTTTAGTGTAAATATCTAAAATGCAATATATGTAATAATTCAAAACAAGTGAATTTGACATAAGTGAGTTTGATTGTACATATAACAAATGTCATAATTTAAATTATAAACAGAATTTCTAGAAATCACCAAAGTTTTCTGATGTTTTTTATTTTAATATGCTTTATTAGCCCATTACATGCAATAAATTTTATGTTTAACAGCACATTAAAATTTACTTAAAAATATTACTTGTACAGGACACATTATTAAATATTAATTACACATATTTTAAGTAAATGTTAAAGGGGATAACTACCTTATCTTTCAGGAAAGGTTAACTATAATTGTAAAACACAAATGATATGTTATCAATGTATATAAAATATCCATTTCAAAACTTAATCACATGAACATAAAGTAAATTAAATTCTCAATTCATAAAAACAAATAATTTAGTTTAAAGAAACACAAAATTAATCATTAAAACCTTTTTGATAAATAAAACAGACAGGCAAAAAGTCTCACTGAGAAACAAAACAGACAGTTTAGGCTTTACTACCAGCAAAGAAGCACATAGAAACACAAAGGCTGATCAATAATGATTAAGAAACACAGAAGATGATTCATAATTATGCCCTTATTGTAATTTCAATGCACTTCTGTGAAAAATGTTACATTATTTGCCTATCAGAAGGACTAGCCATAAACCTATATATATTAAGAAGAATGTCTGTTCGTGTGTTTGTTCGCGATTAACTTGGTCACTACTATAGCTATTGTCACCAAACTATCTACAATTCTTTTCTGGGTCCTGGGAAAGGTCGATGTCTACTCCATCCTCATTCTTCCTAGTGGCAACAGTCTCATACGCTAGAGATAAAAATCTGCTTTATTTCAAGAACTGTTGCCACTGTTGCTTTCAAATTGTACAGTTTGTTAATAAAAATTTTTTCTAATGAAACAAAAATAGCATTGCCAAAAATGCATATTCCAAAAATTCATGGGAAGGCATACAATCTTTGTATAAATTTAATCAGCTGAGATATTAATTAAAAACTATGAAAATATTAATTTTTGCACTCATTTTTCTGAGTAACAACAGTCTCAAGTGTTGGAGATAAAAATACTTTGTTTTGAAAAGTGTTGCTACTGCTCACTGCCAAATCGCAGAGTGTGTTAATAAAAAATTTGTTAAGTTTTATAAAATCTATATATATATATGAATTTTTGTTTGTGGGTTTCTTCGCATTACTGACTTTTGATCAATCGTTCGCCACATTTAATTGACTAAAATTGAACATAGGAGAAATATTGGATGAAACTTGACCTTTTATGACCCTTTTATTAAAAAGATGAAAATCATTAAAACTGCGTGTCATTGATGCTGATATAATGATAGAGAATTAGTTTATTTTTCTACTAAAAATTTTTATGTGGGTTTCATATCACATCAGACTGAAAAATGTACGACTATGAACCGTATTTTTTGAATCGTTATTAAAGAAGGATTACAGTGGTATCGTTTTCTTTGTTGTTAGATACATTACTCTCAATCTAAATTAACTGGCATCGGGTACTTCCGGTAGTAGTTAACATAGTTATTTTTTAAATTGTTCTTGGACTGCAGCTAGGATAGAATTTATTAATAATAGTGTTCAGGTAATAGAGAATAATGATTTAGAAGTGGAAAAAAAAAGGAGTAGGGGAAACACGCGAGATTGTTTTGATCCACTATATATACAAAGAGTGTCACATATTTCAATAAAAACAATGTCAATATAAAAATAATGCTCTACATCTCTCCTCCCATTTTTAGTAGAGCAATTATCCTATTTTCATCCTGAAAGCAGTCTGAGCAGAGTCAAAAAAGGTTAATAAGTCCACCTACTTATAAAGATTCTTGCAACAGGCATCCTCATTTGTTCAAAATCTGTGCTGTTTAAACTAATTTTGAATTTCACATTGATGTGTTTCTCTTCCAATTTCATATGCTATCATGCTCTTAAATATATTCTAAATACCCATTTGAAATACAGAAAATGCAATTTAAGTTTTACCAACAGGCCAACTAAAACCCAAAATACAGAAAGAGCGCTGTACTTAAGTTTTAAATATTTTTTTCAAGCAGAAGAATTTACAAAGTTTTTTTATTGTAAATTTTTATGAGCAGATATATCTTACACAGCCTGGATACTTAACTATAAATGCTGTACTTTACTTTTTAATCCCCATTTAGATGTACAAGACGTTTAAAAGGTACATTATTAGCTAGTTTTATTATGAATCCAATGTATGGCAATCTATTGGACATTCAATTTCTATATTAGGCTAACCTGCTACATATTTGAACTGGATTGGCAAAAGCTCGAACTTTTTCAGCAAGGGAAAAGGTTATAATATAAAAAAGCTTTTACAGTTCAATTCAAAAAAGTGTCATTAATTTTATTTAGAGTTGGATGTATTTTATTTTTGCTCCTGGTCATAAGTAAATGTTAAGTCTGTATGAAGAACTTCATATTTAACCATAATCAAAAGATTAATACAGTACAAAGTCCGTAATCCGGAATGATCTATAATTCAGACCTCAAAACCACAACCTTTTTTTTTTTTTGTATGCTTTACACATGCACATAAAGAATGTGCATACATTACGCGCCCTATATTTCCACAGTCATAACACCTTGGTTATGCACTCTTATTATAGCACGTGCTTTATTTTGTGTGTTAGTACTTGAATAAGCCTTATTCTTCGTATCTTGAGTGTAGATTTTCTCATAAATATTTAATTTCTCTTTGAATTCAGAAATAATTTTACACCCATACAAAATAATTTTATTACTACTCTGATCCGGTATCCCATTGATTACATAATCAAGAATTGAATCATCAACAGAACCGCGACTGGCTATTTCCCGCATGGCAATTAAATATTCGGAAAGGGATTTACCAGGTTTTAAGTGCCGTTTAAGTCCAGGCATAGTCTAAATGAACCGCATTTTTTATACTTCTGATTACACATATTACTTGCATAATCAGAACAGCATGGCTTAATGATTTGTTTTTCTAACCATTCCGAAATCTGTTTATCAATATCACGCTGCTCTGCAAGAAGGGGGGGCCGCGAGGCGCAATGAACTGGAAGTTGATCTGTCAGCATAATCCTCATCTTCAGAGCAGATTTTTTTTTTTTTTTTTTAAATTTTTATTCAGCTTATAATTCCTTACTAAATGTAGTATTTCATCTTGATGTACTCCGTCTTTGATATGATTTAAATCAATTTCCTTGTCATTATAAATATCACGAATACACATCAAATAGTTTTCTGGATGGAATTTTCTAATTTCGACTATGCGTAATGTATGCTTTACGCATGCTGCGCGCATTGAAAGATATGTTTAATAAAGTAAACAAATAAATATTAAGCTTTTTTTTTTCCGTAAAATTTGATACCCTTTAGGTCATAATTTGCTCTTTATTTCATAAATTACGGTTTCATATTTTTTATTGTATAATTTCTGTACGCCATCTTACCACATTTAAATTGATGATCTGATTCGGAAAAATCCCTAATCCGGAATTGCCGACGTGTCCAGACGAAGTCCCGATGAGTCCAGATTACTGACTTTGTGTATAACTTACTAATAATGTTTAATGATTTGAAAAGAATTCAAAAGATCCAAATTTTTTGTATGTAGCAAGGTGATATTCCACTATTCAAAGATTTTTTTGTCAATTCTTGAATTGATTTAAATCTTGGAAACAGTTTAACATGACTGAAACATTAGATTTAGATAAATAAAAAGAACTACTTTGTCTGGGTGAAGAAGGCACTATTTACAGTAATAGTTCATTTTTACTACTTGGGATATTTTCCAGGTAAACAAAATGTTAAACAAATCAGCATTAAACCATGATACTTGAACACATAGTAACTAGGAATAAGAGAATATATGAAAAGGAATAAGCAAGGCTTACTTTACCTCTATTTTTGTTATACTTTTCAAATATGGATAACAACACACTATTATGATGTATATCTGTCATAGACGGCCTGAAGGAAATGTTTCTTTAGTACATAAAAATATGCAATCCCCCTGCACTAGTTCTGATTCTAAATAAATATTTAATTTTTTTAATGATAAAATCATTCAATGCAGTCCGAGTTTTACAACCATGGCAGAATGATTTATCACAGATATATTGAACTCTTAAAAGGTTCAAGGGGGTGGGGGGAATGAAATGGATTTGAACAGATAACTTTAAATGCACATTTAGTCTGGCAGAGTCTTTTTCAAAAGATAGTTTTTGTTAACAACCTCTAATACAGCATTTTCATATGTTATCTGCCACTTTCTATACTCCCCCCCCCAAAATGCTGCAACGAAACCTTGACATGCTTTGCATACCTCTCCTATTCGACTGACTGACACTTACTTCCTTGTTCTGTTTTTATTGCAAATTTTAGAATCCTCACCATATATACATTTTTTTGTAGGGACATCTAAAATGCACAAGGTTACTAGCCAGAAAGCCGACATACTCCAATCATCTTACAAACTGCACTATGCCAACTGATTTTAATGATTATAATCGACAACTTTTACTCTGATTACATGGTTTATACAAAGGTGGGGACTTTCTGCACAAATTTCAGTCACAAGAAATAAGCAGATCCCAAGATGAGATGATACAAAAAAGAAAGCTTGGCAAATCAGCTTTATGGCAACAATTCTAAATAAATCATTTACCAAACAATATACAAAAGCACAAGAAATCTTATAATAGAATAATTAAGACCTCAGTCTTAACATCCTCAGTCAGAACATTAAGGTAAATTTGTACATATTTAAATGTTAAATAAGAGAAAAGTAGCACAATTATAATTTTCCACATCTTCTATTTTCGAATGCAAGTCATAAAAATAGTAAGAAATAACATTATTCAATACAAAATTATTTTTAAACTCTGTACTTTAAAAGCATTGTGATCAAACAATGGGAAGAAACACATTTTGGCTGCCCGTGAATAATTAAGAATAATTTTCAAATGATACTAATTTTTTAGAACAAGCTCAGATACATGCCCTTTCCTTGAAACATCTATTCAATACATCGCAATATTTTGTTAATAAATGATAGTAAACTACATCCTTTTTTACTTCCATAACTAAGAATTTCATAACATATTTTTAACTGATTACTTCTACATATACCATATATATTAGACATTACATAATTATGTACTACAATATTATTATTGAATATGTTAATATACTTCACAATGTAACAACCGAAAATGAAATATAGGATCAGGATTTCCATACACAAAAAAAGTTGGAAATATAATTTAAAAACCATGCTTTAAAATAAAAATATAATAGATTGTTAATACAGGGCAGAGGGAACTGGAGAAATACATAAACACAAAATAAAAAGAAGCATGCTTAAATTATTTACCAGGCAGAGTGTGAATAATATAAAAAATAAACTAAATCATAAATTAAAAAAAAAAAATACAAGTTATTTACATCTGCCTGATGAAGTAAAGGACCAGATCCCACCAACATCTGACACACCTCCAAACATAGGATTTTTTCGTTGAGCTCGCTCCATACCAATAGGCCTTGGTAGTTTTCGATCCTCACCGATTGTGCCAGCTGGATTTGGATTTTCTTGAAGATTCATACCAGTGGGTGAAGGTAAATTGCTTCCTTGAGGTGAAGCATTGGGAGACATAGCTGCCATGGGTGACCCTTCATCTATATAAAAATTGTAAACATTAAAAGAAAAAAATTAATTACATTTATTTATAAAACAGATCATTATAACGTTAAATATTTAACTTCATATATGTGTATTTATATGTAAGGTAAAATTATGTAAATCAGCTTTAAAATTCAATTTAGCAATGGGCTTTTAATTCCTCATTTTTAATTTGGGTAATTTGTCTGTCTATTGTAAAAATAATGACTTTTCCGAACGGCGCCATTTCTAGATCAATCCATCTTGCAGGCCTTCACGTAATGCTGATGATGTAGTTAATTGGGAACCTAACTCTCAGAACTTAAACTGAAACCAAAACCTTTCTCTTAACAGACTACCATATTGAATACATGTGCACTTTAAGCTTCAACTTCTGTGCTGCTTGGATGCTTCTCGATGCTCTCCTATTGCAGTAGTATTAAAAAAATGTAAATGTTCTTTAATAGGCATGATTAGAGTGCCAAATTAATTGTGACCACAAATGTGAATTTAAATAAAAATGGAATTTATTCCGACTGCCACATTTCCTCTTCAATATGAATCAAGTATCTATACCAAACAACACTGCTATGCTTCTATGTCTCAGTGTTTCTACATCAGTACTTCTCTAAAAGTGTTTTTATTACATATATACGCTTTGTGGTTGTGTCGTAAAAATAAGTACTGGTTATCATAAATTACAGAAGAATCACAAAAATAGCGATAACTCTCTCAAAACAAAGCCAAACCGTGTAAAATTTGAATATGTTGCCAAGTAAGAGCAGCTGAGTAAAACTGCAATATGCAAATTAGTGGCACTGCACTCGGAATAAATCATCTGCGAGGAGCATAAAAGTCCATGTTTGAGAGCAAGCCCATATATTTCACTATGATAGTGACATCAGAAATATGAGATAGCCAATTCGTTACAATGACCTCCAGGCATCATTTGCCTACAGAACTACAATGGAGAGCCATTGGGAGACTAGAGGCAGGACAAAGTCAAACAGAAGTGACCAGATGGCTAAATGTGAGTCCTTCTGCGGTTCATAGACTTTGGAGGCAATTTCAAACCACAGATTCGGCATCTAGGAGGTTCAGCCAAAGACAGCCAACTACTACGACGAGCGCCGATGACCGATATTTGCCATGCCGATGGCCGATGACCAATATGTGCACGAAGGAATAGAACTGCTATTCCAACTCTTCTCAGATCCTCTCTTGCTGCAGCCACCAGAAGGTTTGTGTCAACGTCAACTGTGCATAGAAGCTTCACGAAGTTGGTCTGTATGCAAGGCAACCAGCCATTTGCGTGCCTTTCACGTCACGCCATAGGAGGGAGCGTTTGCAGTGGGCACAACAACATGTCCACTGGACGCTTAATCAATGGAGGGCTGTTCTCTTTATGGATGAGTCCAGGTTTAGTCTAGAAAGCGATAGTAAGTGTTATTTGATAAGGAGAGAACCTGGAACCCGTTATCATCCGTCAAACATTCGTGAAAGAGATGCATATGGAAGAGGCAGTGCCTGTGTTTGGGGTTGCATCTCTTTGGGTAGACACACAGACCTCTGTGTGTTTCCATCGGGAACCGTGAATGCTCAGGTTTATAGAGATGACATCCTTGATGTTTATGTGTTCCCATATGCTGGGGCAATAGGTGATGCTCTCCTGTTACAGGATGACAACACAAGACCACACAGGGCTCGCATCGTAGATGATTATCTTCAACAGGAAACAATTATGCGCATAGAGTGGCCAGCTCGATCCCCTGACTTGAATCCTATCGAGCACGTTTGGGATGCATTAGGGAGACGTCTAGCTGCTCTCAATCTGCCCCCTCAGACCCTTGCAACTGGTTTGCAAGAGCAATGGCTCTCTCTTCCTATGTAACTGATAGACCACATAATTGAAAGCATCACACACCGCTGTATGTGTTGTATTGCTTCTAGAGGCAATCATATTCCATATTGAAGGTACTTTTCCTATAGCAAACTGACACCCTCGATTTGTTCATTTTATACATGTGCTAATTTCTATAGTACCATAATTGTCTGGTAATTTATTTTTATGTTATTTAATACCTTACTATATGTTGTATATTGTAGGGAAGTTTCATTAAATTCTACATGTAACTTTTTCAGTAATCAGGATTTTTGTCATTTTTTCTTAATTTACGATAACCAGTGTACATAAAAATTCTTATTTTCTATGATGTCTTGTTATTTCCCAACTCATCCTAAAGCTTGTAACTGCTATATAATACCTCTATAATCTCTGCTATAATTAATATGGGTCATTTCAAAATTAATCCATGTCATACTTTTTTTTTTTTTTTTTCATAATGCTAATGATGCAGACACTTAGATAAAGCTTCAGCCAATAATAATTTTAAACCAATCAAAATAAAGCTAAATTGTAACCAAACCAAGATTTCATCTCGAACATATTACATTCTCTCTCTTGCATTACTATTACGAACTTGTTGCCACTTCTTTCTTCAAATACATTTTACAAACATAGATGGTACCAATTTATATGTTGGCTTAAAATCTTTGCCAACAAGAATAAAGAAATATTAAAATTGGCCATTACTGTAACTACTACTATACATATCAACATGTCTTTAACATCCAAATTACTTCAATTAGCTAATACAATTAGGATTTGTGCAGTTTCATAAAAGTATTGGATTTACTCTGCTATTTCATCTCTCTTTCCAACTATTACCACTTGAAAACAGGGTGTGTGTGTGTGTGTATGTATGTGTGCACATTTTCCCTCCTTAGTAACACACCACAAACCAGATCACATTTTACAAATTAGTGTGTTGGTGATTATAAAATTTAACTTATTATTATTTATTTACCTGAATGATTTAATTACTAATTTATACAGAAGTCTCATCTAATTGTATTTGTTTAATAATGTGGAAATATACCAAAACTATCTCAAAATAAATCATGTCATTAAATTTAAATACAATTTTTACAGAAAGAATTCAGAATTATTCAGAAATAGAAGAAATAAGAATATAGCACAATAAATGGTACTTAATGTTTTAAGTACATAAAAAGTTAAAAAAAAAAAAAAAAAAAAAAAAAAGTATATGCAGAGAAAGTAAGGGAAATAATTATTATTTTTTTTATCTTATACAAATCAGAACAAAAATTTCTCTGAATGCAATTAATATGTCCTCTCATTTGCAATATTAATGGCAATACAAATGGCTAAGGAAAACAGTATATACTGCCAATAAAGTGCATGGTTTCACTATCATCCTCACACAGCATTTGTAAATATGTTACATATCCTTATGTCATTCTAATTAAATATATTACATAAAATAGAAAAAAAACTTTGTTTTATGATTTAAACAACTTTAAAAATGTAGCATTTTGCTCTGCTCATAGAAGTAAAGAGTTCACTGATTTGGAAATGAAGATCAATTTTGGATATTTTACCACCTTTGATTAGACTGGAGAATTTTTTAGACTTGTCAACCTTTAGAGCCAAAATATAATTAAAGAAAAGGAAAGTTAAAGAACATCTATTACAAAAATTAAACAATGTCCATAATCAAGTCACATAGGAGTTCCTGATAATCAAATCATCTTTTCAATACAATATTAAAAACTGCCTCGTGAGGCAACCTGGACATCAAGATTTCAAAAATTAGTCTGACAACGACCATTTTCTTTCACAAATCATTAAGTAATACTAGGTATAGGGAACACATAGTACCTCTATACTAAGTATACAGTGCATACGTGACTTATCTCACTTGGCTAGTAACATCAGAACAAGTCCATGAAATTCTTCGTGACAAGGAGTGCAAGATTGTGTCTGTTGCAACAGCATTGAGCATCATACAGATGACAGTTATGACTTTGCTCAGTTCCCCCTCCAATTTTGATGGAAATCACTCCGATGGAGTGTCAGGTTTGAGGGTTTACGACCCCTACCACTAACCTCTTAAGAGGACTTTTGGCTTATCACATATTTAGAATGTCCCCATGCCACATAGACACTATAAATTTACAAACATCCATGCTTTTTTTGGGATTCGAACTCAGGCCCTTCAGTGCAGCAAGGAAGCGTCACTACCCACTATCCCGGTTAGGCGGCATGGTACATACAGTTTTAAATATCTAATTACAAAACAATTTTTTTTAAAACAAAATATAAATATGCCTGGTATTTTCATGTTTTAAGCTGCAGAAAATTATCACTAAAGACTTAAAGTAAGAAATTTAGAACTAATGTTTCACAAAGACTAAAATTTTGAAATTCATAATTAATAAATTTCAAATAATCTAATAAATGCAACAAAGAATTTAATAAATGTAAAAACCAAAACTTTTAAACAATCAATACCCCAATTCAAAGAAATTCCTTAAATTAAAAGAAAAAAAAACATAACACATGTAATTCAATCAACTTCAATCTCACTTTTCCTTGCTTTTCTGTATCCAGAATTAGCCGATGAATCATTAAATGTATTTTAATTATAATAGCTCACTCGAAAATTCTGGCCCTTCCCCAAAGTAAGGAAAAAAATTCAGTTAGAACTTGCACTTTAATAAAGAGAATTCTATTTTGTTCAAATTGAAACCGAAAGTGAACAATTAAAATACTTCAGTGAAAAAATAAATCAAAATTTTACCTTTAAACATATATCACATAATTCAAAGTATTTTAAACTTTAGTAAAATTATAAAACTTAGGTGGAAAAACTTAATAAGTGCATTTTCATTAGACTTCAATGGAGCAAGTAATATCACGACTGTAATGACTTACAGGTTTGCCATTTTGGCTTCATTGGCGAAACAAAAAAGAAAAACCTTGGCGAGAAAGTAATTGCTCAAAAGTCTAAAATTTGGAACATGAGATGGAATTTTGAAACCAAAAGAAAAACTTTCGAATAATTCAATGAAGTTTTTTAAAATTTTGACAAAGAAAAAGATAACAATATTAACTGAGAGAAATTAATGTAAATTTTTACTCTTTGAAAAATGGGAATACAGAACATCATTCAGTCTAAAACTTTAATTAAATTTTAAAAACAATTATTCTTTAAAAATATTAAACTTAAAAAAATGCCTAAAAATTGGTCAAGAAGTTATTATTAATTGTTCTGAAGAATTGAGTAGAAAAATCAAATTTTAGATTTTTTTAAAATTGCAAATTAAAATTACAAAAAAAGGAAGTAAATGAACTATTGTTAGAAAAGTAAAAAGTTTTCATATCATGGGCTTACCATGATGACTTTGAAAATATATAAGGCCCTTGTTTAGTACCAGAATAGTAATTCAAAGCAAAAATTAATAAAAAATAAAAACTTAACATTCTTCTTTATCCTTCTCTTTTGGAGCTTTCACATAAAAATCTCATACTTTTAAAAAGTATTATAGGGTATGGACTTATTCTAGATCTCTTTAAATGACTATTAATGAATTTTAAAGGAATTTCATTATCTTTTAAAATTTTGGCAAGAATAAGAATTTTTTCTTTATGTGTTTCTATTTCAGTGTGAACTTTTTTAATTTTTCTGATGTGGTTAATAATAGTATTTGCAATAACTTTCATCTTTGTGAAACATTAGTTCTAAATTTCTTACACTATGTCTTTATATGATATATATATATATACACACACACACACATATATATAAACTACAGTCAAAAGTCGTTAATCCGGACTCGTCGGGACTTCGGGGATTCCGGATTATTGATTTTTTCGGATTATAGATCATCAGTTTAAATCTCGTAAGATGGCATGCAGAAATTCTAAAATTTAAAATATGAAACCGTGATTTATGAAATAAAGAACAATTATGATCTAAAGAGTATCAAAATTTACAAAAAAAAAAAAAAAAAAAAAAAAAAAAAAAAAAAAAAAAAAAAAAACTTAATATTTATTTGTTTACTTTATTAAACATTTCTTTCAATGTAAGTTGTTTAAGTTGCTTCATTTTATGTGATAATACTTTCTCTTTAATTCTGTAAACAGACATAATTTCTTGTTCAGTTACAAAGTTTCGCTGTTCAAGTCCTGTAATTGCTGTGCCGAGAATACCGACTAACTCCTCAATCGAAATTTTTTCGTTTTCACTAACCTCTCTGTCACCTTCTTCATGTCTTTATCCATTTTTTTGCAGCAATTCCACTTTTTGTTTGATGGACATCGAAACATACTTTCGTTTTGTAGATCCTTTGGGAGCTCCAGCATCGGAAATTCTATTTGACATAATCGAAAGTTCAAGTTTACTTTTATAAAATTGCTCTTACAGTCTGCAAAAAATAATAAGACGGATCCAATTCTAAGATTAAGGAACAATGCAATCATCAACATTAACTGAAATAGATAATTAGATAATTTTAGCTTATACCGTCCGTTATACATAAAACGCGCACGCAAAAACATATTCTGCGCTTGTGCACACACATATGCGCAGTCGTAAAGGTCTTACGCGCACGCGTAAACGCCTATGTGCAGGTGTCAACGAGGCGCATGTGCAGAAAGTTTGTAGCTTTGAGGTCCAGATTATAGATCATTCCGGATTATGGGCGTCTGAATTAACGACTTTTGACTGTATAAGGCTTAAAAAAACATAATATTTTCGAAAGACGGGAAATCGCGAGAGATTAAATTGAAATGCAAATCAAATTCTGTATACTTCTAACCTAAGATATGCAAAACGAAATACCTCTCCCCCAAAAAAGAAGCAATCTGAAAATCAAGATTACATTCTAAAATCTCAAAGCTTATTATTTACAATTTCATGCACTTTTTTAAATATTAAGAACTTTTAATCTGACCTTCATATTCACATTTCAATATAATGTAGAACAATCTCATTATGTTCAGAATTAATCCTGAGAAATTCAAGATATAGGACATAAAATTTTACATTTAAATAAGTTATCAAACTAGCAATGGCAAAACACCATGCAGAGAGTTTCATGATTAATTAACCAAGAGAAAGATTGATTATTCACGACATAGCTGTGCATTCTTTCATAGAAATATCAGTGCACAAGGTTTGCAATGAATATTTTCCATGAGTGATGTGACAACTATTTCTCATTTTTCAGAATAAAAATGTCTATTTTCATGGGGTTGAAAAATGCAGATCTGTGGGTATAACAAAAATAATTCCTCTGGACAGAAGTTGTATCATTAACAATTCTTTCCTAAGAGCAATATAATAAGAATTCTGCTGAGAAATATCAAATACAGAAGTATTTTTATGAAATTAGAAAATTATTGCAGCAGATGAATAATTGCCTTCAGGAAGATCAGAAATTTGCATTTAGAACATATTTTGAAATTTCATAAAATAAGTGCTTATAATTTGGGGGACATATTTATAGATAAATACATACAAGTTTGTTTAATCAATTACACATAGTACATAAGAATATATGCCTAAAAATGAGGATGCCTTCACGAGAAGAATTTTTTTTTCTTGTAAATTTTGATTGCTACCATATGGAAATCTTTATTTATTAAAACTGTCATAGAAAAAGAGGTAAAAATCACTTTCAAGAAATATTTTTTATCAAAATGAAACAAAAGAGGGAAAAATTACCTTTAGAAGATGTTCCAACTGAAGGAGTCGTGCTTGCAGATCTTTGATTTGGCCTGACACTCATTAGTGTATGCACTCCAGGGTACGGGTGAGTAATATTTCCATTGCCAGGTACCATAGCCGATGGATGGTATCCTACCATGCTTAGTAAAGGCATTGCATCTGCTCCTTGTGATAGACCACTGACTACAGGGCCCATAGCAGCATTTCCATTTGGATTATAGTCCGTTTGTTGCTGATGATTTGGAACATGGTGGAAAGGAAAGCGGTTCATGGCTGCTTGGGCATTTGCCATGGGGTGAAGAGGAAAACTGTGATTTATACCACCACCAGAGGCAAGGATAGGCCTGAACTGAGCAAGATGAGCTGGAACTGTGGTTTCTTGAAAAGCATTAGGACCAGAAGGCAGCCGTGGTAAGTGATGCATAGGTGGTCCATGTTGAGCCATTAATAATGAAGCTCGACTAGAAAAGTCCGGGGCATTAGGATTAAGATTGCTTTGCACAACTTGAATAGGACCATTACTTATCCCTTCCGGTAGAATCGTACCAACTGAAGAAAGTGGGCTGTGCTGACTGAAAGTTGTATTCGTTCCACCTGGGCTTGCTAAAGTTGAAGCCATTGGATATGACTGCAGACGACTGGGGTGGGAAGACATTCCTAAGCCTTGATGATGGTATATTGCCTCAGACATCTGGACTGACATATGAGGAGGTGGAGGAAGTCCAGAACATCCTCCTGGCATGGACCGGGGTAATTCATTTATTGCAATACTCTGTGTTTCTGGTAGGGACCGGGAAAGGTGAGGTGACGGAGGAGGTGGGCTTGGCACAACAGGTGGTGTTGAACGCCGATTGCTAGAGGCTACTGAGGAAAGAGACCCTATGGGACCTAGTGGTGGAGTACAAGGAGCACTACGAGGTCCACTACCAATGGGCCCAAAATTTGAGTTGTGTGAAATACCTATCTGAGGAGGATTAGAGGAAGCTGAGGAATTAGAGGAGGCACTAGGTGAAATATGAAGATTCCCTCGATATCCTGGAGCTTTAGCAGCATCGACAATCAAATCAGGCTCAGAATTTTGAGGAAGAGAAAGAGTAAGTGTGCTTTGCACAGGATTTGAATTTTGAACTTGAGAAGCTACTGATGTAACACCAGAGGCTGCAACACTTGCAAAATTTGGTTTGGATGCCTCTTTATCTTTCTGACCCCAAACACTCTGAGCAACTTGGGCAAAAATATTATCAAAAGGAGAATAGTCTTGCGCTATACCAGGTTGTGCAGTTGTTACTGTATGTGAGCATGTAGGTGATGTGGATGGAGGGTTACTCGTAGAAACTGCCTGGCTTACAGATACTGTTGAATTGACAAAAGGTTTAGACTGAACTGGTGCCTGTGTCGAATGAACTCGTGCCTGAGTATTAACGCCTTGTTGAGTCATAATAGTACCATTTGAAATTTTTGGAGAGTGGTTAGTTGCAAATGGCTGAACAGGTGATGGGCCAGAACAAGTATTGTGCCCTAGCGTCATTTGTGGATGGATAACAGTAGATGAAGGAGGTGCACTACCAGCTCTTTCAATAGAAACTGGTGAAATTGTAGAAACTTTTGTATCAGATGTAGTAGTTACTTTTGTTGTTACTGAAACTATATTTGCTGGAACAGTTTTAGGGGCCTTTCCCTGGGCAATAACAGCCATTGTATAAGAAACGGTGGTTTTCGTAGCTGTAGTACTGCCTGGTTGTGAGGAAGTGTTCTTATCTTGAGGAAAAAGTTCTCTAACAACAGGACTTTTTTCAATGCTAGTTGTTGTTACTACTCTTGCAGATACAGTAGCTACATTTAAAGATGCAGATGAGGTGCACATGGGCACAGTTGGGCGAGGAACATTTACAGGAACTTTCCCTGTTACAACTACCCCTGTCCATGCATTTTGTGCATTATTAAGAAATGGAGGTGTAGCAGAGTTACAAACTGGAATACCAGGCCTAATATTTTGTGAGCTAGATAACACAGAGCGGATTTGATTTGTAAATGGAGGTGTAGCATTTGCAGGCAAACTAGGAGGTGGAATGGAAGTTGTTTTAGTGACTGTAGTAGCATTCCCTGAGGTCTTTGTTACTACTTGTTGCTTTATTAAGTTTTTGTTTTGGCTGGAAAAAGAAGATACCTGCAAAATCAAGAAAAATGCACATCAGTAATTTTATTCAATACTATTACTGTATATTTTCGTATATAAGCCGATAAATTTTGGATCTTTTTCCACAATTTAATTAGAGGGGCCAGCTTATATAAAGATCCACTAATCTTGCAAAAAACACTGGTACTTTTCCGCTAGTCAGGCACAACCGATGAATCACTAAAATCATACTTTATTTGTTTAGTTTTATATTTCTCAAGTTTATTGAAAAGAAATATTTTAAATTTAATAATCATATTATGAAAATGAGTTTGTTTTACTTTTGAAATTTTTTTTATAATGCTCATTTTTTGTGTCATTACCAACAACAAAAGAATGATGTTGGAGAAATTTGCATCTGGCTTTCTCCATTCCCAAACATGTATATATGAAAAAGCCATACTGTTGCTATAATTTTCAAGAAATGTCATCAATTTCAATGTAATGTGCAATTGTCCATGACCTTAGCACTCATCTTTCAAACAAAGAAAAAATAAAATATTATAGAAAATAAGACAATCACAGATACCACAGATTGTACAAGACAACAAATGAATGAAATAAATGTGCTAGCTTCAGATACGGTCAACACAATTAAAACAAACATTGTTGGCATCTGGCATTTTACTCCACAGCTATTTTATTGGGAAATATTTTGCTTATTTTACTTGAATGGCAACATGTTCAAATATTAGAAGAATTTCGGCTTATATACAAGTTTTGGGGTAAATTTTTGGGGAAAAAAAATGCACTCTCTGTTTACATTCATAAATATACTAAATTTTAAAATTATTTATTATTGTTAAAGGTAATATTTAAAAATAACAGCAATAAAATAAACTTAATAAATTAAATTAAAAAATAAAACATACACCATTGCATTAGAATGTTTTTATTTACAACTTATGTTCCCCCCCCCCCCAAAAAAAAAACCAATGTTTAAATCAAAATATTTCATTTTATTTAATTCCTGTAAATTTAATACTTGCCAAATATCAGTTACTATAAACAGAGCTATTTCATGTTTTTATTTAAAAGTTACTCCCCCCTTTTTTTGTTTCTACTTTTAACTGAAACAGTTAATTTTGTTTTTGCTTATTTTTCCAATTTTAGGTCTCAAATTATAATAAAAAAATAAATTATTAGATGTTATAACTTTATTTTTTCAAAACAAAATAAATCAGTTATAATTTAGGCACCTCACAACTGATCCAGAATTCGATAAAAACCTGAAGTTACACTCTTTTATAACTCAATAAAAGGAAGAGTTGATGGAAGTTCACCAGATATACGAAAGCTACTCTGTTTAACAACCCAAAAAAATATGCATACCAGGAGGGGATTCTCACCCCTCAAAAAAACTTGGTGCTGGATTTTGTTATTTAGAAGAAAGAGGCCGAGTTAGGCGACCTGTCACTTTTGATAAAAGAACTGCTTGGAAATAATAAAAGATGAAATAAAAAATAAATAAATAAATAAATAAACTCACTCATGTATTTCTGTATTGAAATAGAGTCTAAAAATACAGTTACTATTGGGTTCACCACGTATTTTTTTGCAAAGAAGATTCCACAAAATTTGTTAAGTGTAAAAACTGTGCTTTGCGAGATGGTGGAGAAACCAATAAGGAATAAATATTTTAATTATAAATATTTTAATTGTAACTGGGTATATATATACTGACAAAGAATTTAAAGCTACATATTTCATACTTTTTTTCCCCTTGTTTTACTTCCTTTTCACTGTATATAAATTTATAAAAGAGTAAGTTAGTAATAAGCATGCCCCAAATTTAGAACGCAGAAAAATATTTAAGCATATGCCTAAGTTAAGGATTTTTCACATTATATTACATTACATCTGAATTAAAATTATCTTACACAACCTGAATTTATTTGAAGAAAATAAAAATATATCGTGAACAAAATATACCATATGGGAAGTTTGCTGTGTGAATTTGCATAAGTAGTAATGGGTTAACTACACACAAGTAGTAAGGTTTGTAATACTTACTAAAAGTATCTAAATATTTCTGATGCAGCATTTAATCAAAAGAATCCCCCCCAAATCAACATTAAAGATGCACATCAAGTTTTAAATTCTACTCACTAATATTACTGGATTTCTGTATGAATGTAGCATTTTCAACAACAGATGGTTTTAACATCAGTAAAAATGCCCATTTTCAAACAAATTGGGAAGCAATTTCAAGTAGAATACAATTTGATATTTCACAACTTCAGAAAAACTCCATCAATTATAATGATTTTTAATAATAAAATCTTTAAAGCTAATTTTCATTAAATATCATGCATTATGAGTAGTAACATACCTGAGCAGAAGTAGAGAGAGACGGATTAATGCTGATGCTAGATGTCTTGAAACTTTCAGGAAAAGTTACTGAGGAATTAATATGACCCAAACCGTACCTTGAAAGTATTTCAGATAATTCCTTTTCTGGTTCTTTTATCAAGGCTGTTATTAGTTGCTGAGCTAGGCGAGTTGCTTCAGCTGAACCTCTGAAAAAGCAGAAAACAAAAGAAACATTCATAAAAAAATTTCATAATTTATATATTTTATAAACTTATATCTTTATATAAGCCAAACTTATATCTTTTATATAAGCTTCAGACTCCAACCAGGAAAGCCAAACACTCTTATAAGAGATGTGCAATTAGGGATCTCATATTTTTAATAGTTCATTTAAATTTGAAAAATTCAATATTATATAGTTAATAAGTTTTCATTTAATGAAAATGCTGTACTTCTGGTGCTAAAAAATGTAACTGGCAACTAATGACAATTATCAGTTTTAAAACAAGCCTACCTCCCCCCAAAAAAGTCTAAAGGAGCATTAGACCCTGTTTAATATTTTGTATTTTCTCTGCGACACTAACACATCGTCTGTGAAAATCGTCTGCAAGGCTATCTGCGCAGTCGCAAAGTGTTACCATGGTTACCAGTTTTTTATTTTCTGTTGTTGTTAAAAATAAATAGAAAAAATGGTTGTTCTAAAGATTTGAAGTTGTGTTTAAATGCTTATTCGGACTACATTTTTTATACATAGGTGCATGGTTTTCGGAAATTCTATGAACCACCTGGTGTAAAATTGATACAGTAAAAGTCCAGAAATCCGCAAAGCTTGGGACCAGAGATTGTGCAGATTTCAGGACAGAAAAGGTAAAGCATAACATTCGAACTAAAAGTGCAAAATAAATAATGTGTATTAGATACATTTAATTAAATTATTATATACATTATTGCAATAATTTATTATATGCATTAAATTATTTATTAATATATAAATTGATTATATTATCTCATTGTATTATATGTACACAGCATCGAGGTTTGCCGATTTCGCCTCACTTAAAGATTTCCGATTTCGGATTCTGGTGTTAGAATCACTAATGCTGTAAAATTTCAACAGCTTTTCTTTATTTTTCCGTAAATCATACACAATCGTGTTGCAATTCCACACCATTCTGCTATAAATCGAGGAGTAGCACTTGCCTCCATCTTTTGCAGAATTTGCAATTTTTGCGTTACTGTCAATGCATTGTGTTTACGTTTCTCAACATTGTAAGCAGTAAAATCATGAGTGTGTTTCTTATCTGTCATGTATTAAAAGAGCGAAATTTAATATTCTAATTTATCCACAAAATCAGGATAAAAAGGCCAGCACTAAACACTTTTCGTGAAATAAGCTAAAAAAAAAAGTTAAAAGCTAAAAATTTTTTTAGCGGAAAGCAAAAAAAAAAAAAAAAAACAACATGAATTGTGAACTTGAATGAAGAGTCTGCTTTATTACCTCGATGCAGAGATTAGAGGGAAAAAACTTATTAAAAACTTATTATCTTATTTTTTTAAACTTTTTTTATGTCAATAATTTGGTATTTCTGTTATGACTCATTAATATTCGGTTATTATGACGTCATTATTCGGTAAGTACTTTTTCTTCGATATTTCGTACTCAATGTTGTGGTTTCCGGAACCTATAAACTGAATGTTTATATTTTGAGAGGCAACGTGGATTTCAGGAGTTGGCGGATTTTCAGTATTTGACTGTATCTCATTTCGTAAATCATTGGAACACTTCGATGGTGGGGTTAGTATTTAGATAGAGAATTTGTTGATAACAGTTTGTTTGAGTTTCGAAGAATTTAAGTGAAAATAGTAGTAGTTTGTTTATGGTTTCATTCAGCAGTATAGAATTGTTTTGTTGCAGTATTGTTATTATAATGGCTAAAGAGTTAGACAGACTTAAGAAGCAACACACCTACCATCTTACGGGGACCCATCTGAGTTTTAAATTTCTGGAATAAATTTGAAAATTCTATTGAGAAAAATCCTTCCCTTTCAGATGTTGAAAAATTTTCTTATTTGTTTACTTGCCTTGGAGGCGTAGCTCTTTCTTGTATTAAAGGTTTCGCTATTACCTCAGACAACTATAAGTCGGCTCTTGAATTAATCCAAGATACCGTTGGCCAGAAAGATGTGTTAATCAATGTCCATATGTCTAAGCTGTTGAATATGACACCGTTAAAGAACATTTCTAATTTACAAGAGCTGAGAAACCTGTATTTTAAGAGCCAAAACCAAATCCGTTCTCTTGAAAGTTTAGGTATAAAATCAGAAAATGCCTAATGCTTTGCGCTGTAATTTTGAAACTTTTTCCCAGTGACCTCGTTTTGGAAATCAGCAAAAATCAAATCTCGAGCACTAATCATAATTTTAAGGGAGTTGATGGATTTTTTAAATCGTTCCATTACTGCAACGGACAGAACATTTCATATACATTCCTGCTTCTTCGCATGAAACACGTAGCCAGCATAAATAATCTAACCATAGAAATTTTGGAGCCCCTAATCGCAATAAATTTCGTTACTCTGCTAATGAATTGCTGACCAATGCTACTTCAGATACTTGTATATTTTGCAGTCAGCAGCACATGAGCCATTTGTGTGACAATTTGAACTGTCAAAAAGAGAGGGAGAGAGGCTTTTACGAGAAAAAAGATGTTTATTGTGTTGTAATATAAATTGCTGTGTAAAGGCCAGCAAAGCATCAAACTGCTCCTTTTTCAACAGTAAACACGGCCGTGCAATATGCTTTAAATTAGAAAATTCTAAAAAACAAAGGATTGAACTTGATTCAGAAATAAAATCTAATGAAACAGTTGCTACTTCATTGAATTATATGCTGAATGACAGAAGAGGAATTTTATTGCTATGTGTAAAGGTAGAAATTGTTGGAAAAGAGTCGTCAGATTTTATTTTTTGTTTATTTGATAATGGATCTGAGCGCACATTTGAAAAGAAAGAAGTTTCTGAAAGGCTGGGATTAAAGGTTATTGGTTCAGAAAAATTGAATATTTATTTATACCTTTGGCGAAAAGGCAGATTTGCCGAAGGGTAGAATTGAAGTTGAGAAATATTTTGAATGGAAATGAAGTGCTTATTGAAGCATTAAAAACTGATGGAAATATCGAAAGCTGCAATAAATGTTCCCGATCAAGGTACTTGTGTAGAAATGAAATCAAGAGGATTTCCCTTAACATTTGATTTTAAAGAGTTATCTAGCAATTGAGAAATTTCATTGTTGATAGTAGCAGATTATTACTGGAATTTGATAAAGAGATTTGAGCGGTTGAACATGTCATTAGTAGCTGCAACTGCCTTTGGATGGTCACTCCAAGGAAAATGTGATAATTTAAGTAATTCCACGTCAATTAATTTTGTTCTCAATGAAAGAGATTTGGTATCCGCTGAGCTAAGGTGCTTTGGGGAATTGGAGAGTTTGGGCATTAGAAGTGACAAAATAGATATTTCCGGTGTCGAAGAAAGGGAAATTCTGAAGGAGTTTAACGAATCGATTCAGTTTATAAATGGCAGGTACTGTGTGTTCTCGTGGATAGCAGGTATGCGGGAAAAATTGGGAAGTAATAGGGAGGTCACATTGAAACGTTTTAATAGTTTAGTTCGGAGGGTCAAGAGAGATCTGTTGTTGTATACACAATATCGGGAGGTTGTTGATAGTTATCTTAAAGAAGGACTAGTTGAAACATCTTCTGATTTGTTAGAGGATGAATTATCTTTTTACTTACCCCAATACGCTGTTATTCGAGAAGACAAAGTCAGCAGCTGTCTGTGAATTGTATTTGATGGTGCAGCTCATGGAGAAGGAGAACTTTCACTAAATGACTGTCTCCACACTGGAGTGAACTTGTATCCTAATTTATTTGAACTGCTATTAAAATTTAGGCAAAATTCTATAGCCTATACATCGGACATACAGCAAGCCTTCTAACAAATTCAAATCGACCCAGAAGATCGTCGGTATACTAAATTTTTCTAGATTAATGATCTAAGTTTAAGCAAATTTATTGTGCTGATTTTACTCGTGTTTTGTTTAGACTTACATCAAGTTCTTACCTGCTAGCAGCTACACCGAAATTTCATTTTGAAAATTATCGAAATCCGTAAACTGTGAATTGCTCTAAATTCCTTCTGGGCTGACGATTTTGTTACTGAAGCTGACGAAGTAGAGACAGCTCTGAAAACCATTCTCGAAAGCACTGAAATTCTTAAGAATGCTGGAATGGTACTAAGGAAATGGCAGACTAATTCTGTCAAACTTCGCAACCTATGGAAGAGAGATGGTATAGAAACTATTGATATCGAAAAAGCCATCACTGGATACAGTACGCCATCAAAAGTTCTAGGAATGGCCTGGAATACAGACGAGGACTTGATACATAGAAAATTTGATGAATATTCTTTCCAACAGATTCCAAAATTTGTGGCACCGTTTGAAATCTCTTGTCCGAATGAGGCGCCCATCAAATAAAAGGGAACTAATTCAGGCTATAATTGTCTCCTGGCATCATGCAATAATGAAAGAAGAGCTTAAAACTCTTGTCAGCTCAATGAAACGTCGATGTGAAGCTGTAATCAAAAATAAAGGGTACCCTACTAAGTACTGATAACTCACTGCAATCATCACTATCTGATGTATATCGATAACTATTATCGTTTAACCTCTTTTTTTTTGGGGGGGGGGGTATTGCAAATAATTGAATTTTGTATTGAATTCAGTAATAAATTCTCTTAAAATGATGTATACAAGTTTGCATTTCGTGAAACGTAACGTTTTCCATAAGCATACAAAGTTCAAAAACAATTTCCAAAAGAGTCCACAATTTAGGCCACCAATGTATATATATAACTGTTACTATAGCTTTCAATTATCTTCACTTTTAGTTCAATAAACAGTACTTTATATAACATCAGAAAACTTAGTCATGTGAGATAATATAGTTATAAAATAACATGTAGTTAAAGGAGGAATATAAAAAATAACTATTTTGTCTGTCTCACTCGATCCCAATTAAAAATTTTTTGGGAAAAAGCTTTTTCTTTTTTGCTTCTTTTGCAGCCAACTTTTCTAATTTCCGTTTGTGAGTTAGTCTTAATTCCTTTTCAGCAGCCTTTATACAATCCATTGATACTTTTTTTTTAATTTTCTTCTTTATTTTCTGCAATGTTTTTAGGGAAAAAGCTTTTCCTTTTTTGCTACTTTTCCAGCCAACTTTTCTAATTTCCGTTTGCGAGCTAGTCTGAATTCCTTTTCAGCAGCCTTTATACAATCCATTGATACTTTTTTTTTTATTTTCTTCTTTATTTTCTGAATATTGCTGTTGAATTGAATTTTATGTGGTTTAAATGCAAAGAACATGATGTTTAATAAATTAACGTAACACACAAAGCATTAAAAAAATGCCCTTTCGGGCGTAATATAAAATCTGAAAGCTTTCAGATTTTTTTTTCCTTTCCTTTTTTTTTAAACTACTTTAACCTTACCATCTCTGAGCAGTGCCAGAATTTGTGGTTAAACCTTTGAATTTATTCTTTATGAATACAGGTAGTATTTATTCTAAATGAGGCTGGCAACATTATTCATATATCATTTTTAAAATTCCAGCAGTTTTTAAAAATCTTAAACTTCTCAAAAGTCCATTCAAATTTTGAGTTTAATACAGAATTTTTAAATTTACATTAAACTCAAGTTATTAACTCATTGTAACAACACTTACACTTCTAACATTTAATAACTCACTATAAGCAGTGAATCAGACTATTCTATTTTGCACTCTTGAATAAACTACAGATTGAAGATTTGCATTCAGCAGAAACTACACATTTGTTACAACATTGTCCACAACTCATCCCCAGATGCTGGTGTTTGATATTCATGAATGTCTTTACAGCATCTCAAAAAAATACATGAGTGTCATATGGAAACATGTCAAACAGATTCAGAAGAGAATCTTAGAGGTTAATGGATGATATGGAACTCAGAGAATATTCCTTGAACCATGTCTGGATGGCAGTGGTTTACAGCTGGCTAGGTTATTCTATTACTAAAATAGACCTTTTTTTTTTAAAATCCATAAAACGCCATGAAAGGAGTGTATACAATTAGCAATCTTTTTTACCTCATTTTAATTACTTACTTTTTAAAAATACATTTCCGTGCTTTCGCTCAAGACCATCTTTATTTAAGTACATCTTCAAGATCTCCAAACTCAATTAGGAATTTAAGAATATTTTCTAACTCCATCTCCTTAATATATTAATCTTAAACATATTAATAAAGTCTCAACTCAAGATTATTAGTCAAGACCTTTACTCAAGAATTGCTCTCTATCAAGAATTTCCAAGAACTTTTCATTCAAGTCATCTTAATTCATTCAAAAACTATTTCTCATCAACTTTTATTCAATTACTACTCTTTACTCTCCATTCAAGAACTCCATAATTAAAAACTATATACTCTTATTCGAAACTCTTTACAAAACTTACATTCTCAGCCCTACTATTCTCACGCATTATGTAGTTCATTTTCAAAATTTGTAATGATCTTAAGTATTTAATTACATATTTATTTAGGTATTATGTATTTATATTTTTATTTTTTTTAAAAAATTTGTATTATATAATCCTCAAAATTTCTAATATTATTTGACTTCATATATAGAAACATAGTATTTAGGCATTTATCTAATTCTAAATTTTTAATTTTTCTTATTCTATCTATTTATATATTTATTTCTTGATATTAATATTTTTATTATGTAATTATCAAAATTCTAAAACTTTATTATTGAATTTTATATATAACAACACAGTTGGTAGATGATTCCATTAGTTGAGCATAAAAGCTGAATGTCTTAATGATGGTGCAGCTGCTCATCTGATGGTATATTAATAAATAAATTAGCAATCTTTATGTTGGCTGCAATCGGTAGTTAAGGATTCTGAAGAACTATAAAATCTAATGTGTTCTATAATTGACTTCAAGTACTATCACAAAGCATATGCTGTATTTGAATCAATCAATTTGATAAGATGGGTCTGTGACAGTCAATACCACATGATGCAATATTATTTGGCAGCAGGTATCTGACCACCATTTGCAGAGGTTTCTGATGCTTTGATGTAACTGTTATCAGGCATGGTGTACTGTCCAATACAGTTAAACGAAAGCCAAATGGTTTCCAACGCAAAGGCAACTAATTTTGATATACTGAGCGTTAAAACTATTTATGGCCTATGGTAGTTAAAACTATTTATTACTTTAAATTTTGAAAGTTTGTGAGAGTGTATTTAAGACTGATGTAATGCAAATAATTCCTTTTCATTTAAAATACTAAATTCATTGCAATGCCTCTTATAAATGATGTTAATATATTTTCTATTCTTATCTATTGGCTTATCTTATGAGAAAGTTTCTGTATCATATTAAAATGTTATTTAAATGGGGGGGGGGTACTAACTGCTGGGCACCATAATTAAATCTTCAGAATTTCATACATTTAGCCTCAAGGATACATAAGTCAAAATCTGGTACTGACAGTGACATATCTACTTCACTTGAACTCTACTTTCAGTCAACAGCAGAATTTTGGTATTAATTAATTCTCAAATATTTTCAAAACAATTATTTGATAGTAAAACTAAACGATTTGTTTAAAAGCAAAGCAGTACCCTCTTTTTAGTTAATACAGTTATACTTTTAACTTTTCATTATTTTAATAAAAATAGAAATAAAAGTACCTAATTATCACTGTCCTTTCCCCTTGACCCTTCTGTTTTTCAACTTCAATGTGAGCACCGGATGCCTCTCTAATGGCATTTATATTCATTCCTCCTCGACCTATGACACGACTAATGGCGTTTGCAGGAACTGATACCTTCTTTGACCTGTTAAACAGTTTACTTCAAAAAATAATTAACTAACAATTAATTATATTTGTTAAAATACAATATTACAACAAATACAGAATATATAAAAGAATAAAACTAAAGTTAAAATATAAGATTAAAAAAAAATACTTAAAACTAAAATCAGATTTCTAATGAAGTCATTATTAAATAATTAATGCAATCTTCCATTTGATTAAAGCTATCAATTTATATTTACACACATAATAAAAATTTTAAAAAAGTGTAAAATAATGCAAAGCACAGAAAATTTATTTAAAAAGTTGTTAATAACAGAACTTCTGTTAAAAAACAAGGTTTAAAAATTCGGATTAGTAAAATATTAGCCATTATGCTTTAATTAGTTTCAAACTAATGCACCTTCATTTAAGATGGGAATATATAAATTTTATAACGGATGTGAAAAAATAAAAAATAAATGGAATGGAACTTAACTTATTCTCAAATATTTGTGAAAATGCAAAATTTAAAATTTTTACCTAATTAAAACATAACTAATATTTTACTAACCCATTATAATGCAATTTTTATTGTACAGCGACTGCACAAAAAAACTCCCTCCCCCTTAAAAAAAAAAACTCCCTAACACTGAAACTCCCTACATAAGCTGTAGAATTTAAAAAAAAAAAAAAAAAAAAAAAAAAATTCTACAACTCAACTTTATGAAATTTTTAACAGAAATTTGATACCTAAAATAACTATTTAAAGAAATGCAGTCCATAGATACCTTTTTTTTTTTAAGAAACCAGTAGAATTTAAAAAAATAAGGAAAACAGAATTCTTTTAAATCAAATGTTAAAAAAAGGCAGCATCTGACAACTAGTGAATCTAAATCTCTAATAGTTGAGTTTTTTAATATTGCCCATTAAATTTAATTTTCCAACCACATACATGTGTTATTATACTATATAATAGATACATATGTTATTGCACCAAATCAACTTAATTTCAGAAAACACAAATTAACAATGAAAATTAACACAATGCATGAAAAATTTTCATTATTGTAGGAAAATCAAACTATCTATCCATAAATATCTTAACAGCAACAATAAATCCAGTGTCTTTAAATGCACAACACAAGCCTAAAAGTCCATAAGATGACCCTCATTATATTAAATACAAGCAGATGAATTCCATAATCCAAATAAGAAAAGATGAGCACGCAAACCCATTATTATCCATGCAAAACACTGTCACTGATGCCTTTTTCTTAAAGCTTAAGGAATCACAGCGGGGTCATATCATTGAAAGCAGTCCAAGACTTGCCGTAAAAATCAAGACTGTGCTATCCCCTTGAATCACATACGCTTATACATTTGAAAAATCAAAATCATTATCTTTTAATTCAGAATATGAAGAAATTCATTGGAAGGCTATATATAGTACCATTCAAAAGGAGCCAAAACTTTTCTGTATGTGTAAATAAGATCATTATCATAAAAATCAATGTTGAAGATATCGTTAACAGTTCTAGCCCTAGAGAACAGCCACTCTTAGAACTGAATTGGCAACAAATTACTTTTAATTGCTATCATAATTTTCAATTGCCAAAAAAAAAAAAAAAAAAAAGGAAGGGGGGGCGGGGAGATTATGATAGAATTACTTTTAATTGCTATCATAATTTTCAATTTACAGCACTTGTCCATTCAGATTTATCAATCTATCTCTGCATCTTCAAACCATCTATCTGTATAAACAAAAAATGAAAAATAAAATAATTATTATCTTAGACAGCCAAGTCCAATGGCAGAAATACGAGTTCAAGTAGTTCAATATGTTAAGTCCTATCCCATTAACTGCCACATTACATACACATTAATCTGATTTTAGAGATAAAGCAAATAATTCTTGACCTAGGTATAGGTTCAAATAAAAGTGAACGGGACACCAGAATTTCACCAATGATCATATAGTCCCATTACAAGCTGTGCAGCTCCACTGTAATTTTGATCGAAAACAAAGCCTTTTCCTCAACCACCATACCATTTGAAAGGGTTTTCGGTTCCCCAGTATGTAAGTGTCTCTGCCCCCCCAGACACTATTTTCGGTGCTTTTTTCAGGATTCGAACCCTGGCTAACAATATGACAGTCATTATCACTACTCGCTATATCGATCAGGGCACCCTCTTGACCTAAATAACCTGATTGATAAAATTTGCAATGCACAAAGTCAAACTCAATTATATATGCTGAATAAATAAATGCTATAAATAATGTTTATATAAATGCTTTTTCAAAATGTACGTAAAGAAAACACTTAGCAATTCAAATATTTCATCTTTGAAATTTATTACATAAAAGGAATCATGTTAAAGATATAAAACATCTCCATTTAAACTATAACTAAAAAAAAAAAAAAAAAAAAAATTAGAAAATTACAAACATTTACCTTCTAACAACTTCTTTCCACCCTTCGTCTCTTTTTTGCCACTTTTTAGGTGATGCACTGTTTGTCAGTGAAGATTTTAAACTATGTGGCAAATTTGTAGCTGATGGGCTCCTGAGACCAGATGAAAGAGCAACTTCTGTTGGAAGATCAAGAGGCATTTCCCCAAAACTCTCTCTAAAAAGTGTAAAAGAAATATTTCACTTGAATTGACTCCAATATGCAAAGTTATGCACATCAAAATATAAAAATACTGTCATACTTTTTAGTTGAATTAAGAACAGAATTTAAAAAAAAAAAAAAAAAAAAATCCCTTTGAAACCTTTACATGTTTACAATGCAACTGCTCTCAATGTCTGATGTCTAAAGAATTATTTTGTAACAGTCTCCTCTAGGATGAAGATGGATATTGAACACATTCAATTTATTTAAACATACATGATATAATAAGACTTATCAAAATTACTGCATAAGATAAAGATGTCTTCCCGCAACAGCAAATCAGTTTCAGTTTATCTTATATCTAACTGAATTAAATGTCTATGATTCTGACTTGATAAACTGCATTATTTTATTTAAGAAACCACTTTGCTGCACATATATAATACAGTACAAAACAGTACAAAGTCTTTAAATCGGACCGTCTGGACTTTGGCGATTCCGGATTATAGACCATCAATTTAAATCTGGTAAGATGGCATGTAGAAATTATAAAATTAAAAATATGAAACTGTAATTAATTTATGAAATAAAGAGCAATTATGATCTAAAGGGTATCAAAATTTACACACACACAAAAAGCTTAATATTTATTTGTTTACTTTATTAAACATTTCTTTGAATGTAAACTGTTTAAGTTGTTTTATCTGCTAATACGTTCTCTTTAATTCTATAAACAGACATAATTTCTTGTTCAGTTACAAGTTTCGTAATTGCTGTGTCGAGAATACCGATTAACTTGTCAATCGAAATTTTTTCGATTTCAATAAACTCTGTCACTTTCTTCACTTTCGGAAGCAGTACATCGAAACATGCTTTTGCTCTGTAGATCCTTTGGCAGCTCCAGAATCGGAAACTCTTTTTGACATAAACGAAAGTTCAAGCTTGCATTTTATAAAATTGCTCTATCAGTCTGCAAAAAATAATAAGCTGGATCCAATTAGAAGGAACACCGCAATCTGCAACATTAGCTGAAATAGATAATTAGATAATTTTAGCCTAACTTATACCGTCCATTATACATTAAATGTGCATGTGTAAAGGTATTATGCGCATGCGTAAACGCATAATGTGTTTACGCATGCGCAGAAAGTTTGTAGCTTTGAGGTCCGGATTATGGACGTTCGGATTAAAGACTTTGTAGTGTATACAATATTTCAACTACGAATAGTTCTGACAAGAATCATCTCAGAGTTTGGTTTTGCTATGAAAAATAACTTCTTATCCAGATTATTCACATTTTATCATCATGGTTGTTGAGCTATTCAAGTTTAATAATGGTTGAGTCTCTATTATTGCTATTTCATCCATAACAAATTATTTTTCTTAAAATTACCCTCAGAATCATAACATTTAAAATTAAATTCCTTAAATTTTGTTTCCCAAAGCCAATTTACTCTGTAACAAACTTTCCAAAAAAGGAGAATACTTCATGTAATCTTACCTGCTTAATTCAAAAAGAATAAATAAATAAATAAATAAATACAATAAAAAATCTGGTTTTGAGATTCTGTTACGAATTTGTAAAATTGGATTAGGATAATAGTTAAGCACACCTTTGCCCAATGCTAATGTATCTGTGAATCAATCCATAAAGATCTATCGTTTAGACTTACAAAAATTCATATATAATTTGCTAATTTTACAGCTATCAAATCAAAATTCACATGAGTAATGTAAACTCAAAAGAAGCTAACTGAAACTGATAAAATAGAGTTCTTTTTTTATGCTTCATAATACACTGATGAGCTAAAAAACTATGACTATCTCCCACATTTTTCAATGAACTTGTCTGGATGACATGCAGGGCAAGTGATTAAATGGGAATGCTGTTGCTGGAGAATGTAAGAAATCATTCTTCCACTTACTTCTGCGAGTGATGGGAACAGCTGTTGATCTAAGCAAACTTGATAAAGAGCACATTCTAATGGCCCGGAGATTTGGAATGAGTATCTCTGAAACTGCATGACTGGTTAAGTTGTTCACAATATTGCCACTGTATTTATGCAAAGGGGATAAATGACAGTAAAACCTGTAGTAGATGCCAAGATGTTGGATGTTTATACATCATCAAAGAAAAAGGACGTCTATTGCCACTGTATTTATGCAAAGGGGATAAATGACAGTAAAATCTGTAGTAGATGCCAAGATGTTGGATGTTTATACATCATCAAAGAAAAAGGACGTCTGAGACTGTCCAACTTGGTACAGTAAAATCAGCACCAGACAGTGGCTCAGCTGATAGCCCAATACAATGCAGATCTAAGTGTGTTTCGGAACACACAGTCCAGCGGACACAATTAGATATAAGTCTGCACAGAACATGTCCTACTAAATTCTGTTGATCAAGCAGCATCATCATCAACTACGCCTAAAGTGAGCTTGAGAACATCGAGACTGGAACGTGAATAAGTGCAAGACAGTTGCCTGGTTGGAAGAATCACAATTTTTCATTCATCACTCAATGGTCATGTCAGGGTATGCCATCTTCCAGGTGAACAGTTGCTTCCCTCTGTACAGCAGCTGGCGGCATTATGCTTTGGGGTATGTTCTCATGGATGGCTCTTCCTTAATTGAGGTTCAACAGACCATGAAAACTGCAGACTATCTGAACATAACTGCACCCTTTATACCTTCCCAAATGAAACGGAATCTTCCAGCAAGACAATGGCCCTGTCACAAAGCTTATTATGCTGGTATGGTTTGAGGAGAATGAGGATGAATTCCAATCAATGTTCTGGCCACCTAACTTGTTGAATCTTAACCCAAGAGGGCATATCTGGGATGTCTTGGAGCGACAGCTCAGAGGTCAAGCACCACTATGTTGGAATATCTCAACCTTGCGGTGATCGCTGCTGGGATATTTGGTACAACCTGTCTTGGGTCATCTACTAAGAACTTGTGGCATCCATGCCAAGATGAGTTGCTGCTGTTTTGCAGGCCAAAGGTAGCGTAACGTGTTAGTATGTAAGTGGTCGTAACGTTTGGCTCTTCAGTGTATAAACTAAATTTCTGCATCATATATTTTAACATTGTGTTCGGAAAATAAAGCACTTCAGAATCAGACTAAAAAATTTTTACTATTACATTTTTTAATGATCAAATATTTTAGTTCAATTTACATATACCTATCTTTCTACAAAAGATCCCATCCCGTCTCTTTTTTCAAAGAAAGTGTTAGACATCTCTAATCATAAAAGTTGAAATTAAATGTATAAGGCAAAAACTTTCCACATTTGCTTTATTTCCTTGTCCTTTTTTTTAACAATATTTAGGAGTTAATTTAGAAGTCAAACAACGAATCTTAATATTTAGGAGATTAAACAAATCCGTTTTCAATGCATTTATATTTTGTGTTAATTCACATTAACCTCAACACTGTTAGCACTGTAAACTGGCTGTTACACGTGTCTTTTAATTTGTTAGAAGGTGAAATAATTTTCAATAGCACTGAGAGTCAATAAACAATTTTTTTTCCCAACAATAGCTGCTTCATAGATCCTTGACATAAAGACTGTGGAGCATATGGTAAATTTCAATTTAAGTTCCTTGGTGCAGCTTAACAGTTTCAGAAAGGAGAAATGGATTACAAAGAATATAAAGAGAAATCTGAATATCTAAAAAGTGCATTTTCTGAAATCAAGCTAGTTGAAGAAAACTGCAGTTTTCTATGCTTTGGGGGGGATTTTTGAACTCTGACACAAATCTAATTTTAAATTTACTGAAACTTAGTACTACATAAAAAGATCAACTGAAGATTGATCATAGCAGTAGGTCTGTAATTAAAGGTTATTACTTCAGAGGATTGATTGCAAACAACATATAATTAAGGAATGAATTTACCCTACTGGACCCGAACCTGGGTCAGTTTATTTTGAGTCGAATTTTTTACCGCTAGCCCAAAAGAGCTCCATTACACTAGGTTCAAGAATTTTAACTCTTTTCAAATTTTGCGAGCATTGAATACACACTGTTAACTGTATTACTCTACATTACAATCACACTTCCTGTCACACTCTCAAATCATTTTCTCTAAACATTTAAGTAAACCTGAGATAATAAAAGATAATAAACTGCTGCAATTCCAGTTCCAATATTGTGACAATGAAATCTGAATTGAATTTTGCATTCATCATGTACCTTCATAAAAACATTAGCTCCTATTAATCAAGATATCAGTGTTCCAGCAAGTGAAATTCATTACGGTTTCAATATAATGGTAATTTTTTGCTGCTTCAATGAGTAGCAGGCTATTCAATGAGTAGCAGGTAACTAATAATTAAATTTTCTTTTCCCCTTTTACAGCCTCCATTATCAATCGAGCATCTGTCGATGAATCTTCAGAGGGAGAGTCAGACATTGACTCACCCCCACCCATGCCAAGATGTACTAGCTTCACCCTCAACCCATTCATAAATGCTTCAAAGATGACAATCCAATAATATATATAATGAAGTATTATTACTACTTATTTATACATTTTAAGTTTTTATCTCCTCTTCTTTATATTTTGATAGGAAATATGAGTAGAACAAATTCATGGTGTGGATAGTTGTACAGAATATAACTCCTTTATTAAGTTTGGAATGCCCATAACGTTGTGTTTTAATGGATATAGCAAAATACTTCATTTTAACTTATTCCAATGAATAACATTTTACATAAGAAAGCACATTTATTTTACAACAAAACACCTCGTATAATCTTTCTGCAAAGCAAACACTTGTTGCAATAAAACTAGCATTTATACCTGAAATTATTTAAAAAAAAAAAAATGCAAAAGTTTGCTAATGACATGCAGGAACATTTTAAAAGTGATGTGACTAAATCCATTCAATTCACAATTACATCCAACACACAACAACTACAATATATGGGCATTAGAGAAAATAACACATTCAGTTTCAGTTTTTCCACACTCAACATTCCAAAATATCTTTTTAGAAAACATAATTTAA